CTTTGATATCTAATTGATATCTATGTCTAACACAGGCTGCAAAATAAGAGGTACAGAAGTACGAAAAGGGCAAACGAGACGGTTTCATAAGGAATAAGCTGGTAAAAGAAAACATAATGGTCCACTTACATCCGTAGCCATAATCCAGTGGAACACAGTGACCACAAGAGACTCGGCAGTTGCAAGCCATCCATGCAGGCGATTTTCGGCATTCGCCAAGTAAACTCCAGTACGCACAGCAAACGTTCTCGTTGTAGCAACCGTCCGAGGCTTCGCACTGTGGCTGTTGTGGATGTGCTGTGGTCGTAACAACTGTAATACGATATATTTCCCTCAGTTTGTAATGGTGTACGAAGTCAGTGACAGCTTAGCCGCTAGATTAAGTTGCTCGGTCAAGTTTTGAAACGAAAAGTGGAAGTATTGTTGGGAATATTGCATCGGTAGTGAAGGAAGCCAAAAAAATTCGCCAATTTTGCAAAAAATTAGGCTCCTCAGAAATAGTAAAAATAGAGGTTGTACGAGATTACCCTGACCGAAATTACATTTGAAGGGTATTTGGACGGGACTTCAGTTGTTGTAATTGCGCAGAGCTGACTACATCAAGCCAAAACAGTCCCAATTTGCTTTCACTGTCGCTCTGGGTCATGACAAGTTGTTTGAATCTCCTACATGAGTCCCCTTGGAATGATGCAGCCTCTACAATGCCGTCGAAACTCGTCCGCGCCTACACATTAGGGTAAATTGGGTAAGAGCCATGTAATCAAGAAATGAATCGACATACCAGCTGTTTCTCCACCGCATTCAAAAGCTCTCGTCGTTCCGCATTTGTTACATGACATTCTGCAATTTTCCGTCATCCAAAGTGCATTCCTATTGCATTCACCCGTGCTCGACCATGTTCTACAGTTCTTGTGGCGATCAGAGCAGTCTGGAATGGAAGAAATGATGATTTATGGCAAATCGTGCACTGTCACAAGGGTGGTAATAGGTTTGAAATAGGTCCGGCTCGATACCCATTCGGGACAATCAACCCTTCTATACTCCGCTGTCGGTTGGTTGGTACCAGACTCGTCTGGGAGGACAAAAGCGTCGACTCGCACATCGAGTGGTCATCGCAATTCTTTTTATAGGCTACACACGCATGCTAACGCCATTACAATTCTGGGTCTGAGACGAATGCTGGCGTACCCCAAAGGCATTCATCAATACCGAAAGATCAGATGGGATTGGTTCCATGGCGCAATTACGGTAAAGAGATTCAAAAATTGAGATAGCTCATTCCATAAATCCCGCCCATCTTCAAATTCACCGCCTCCTACAGTTAGTGAATGGAAAAACACGGTCACAGAGCGCAGGCAGGTTGAGTATACTTAATCCTTCCTTTCTTTTCAGCTAATTGGAATAGCTTGCTCAAAGCTTCGCTCGATTTTATAATTGAAAATAAAAACTTGACTTACCATCGACCAGTCTATACTGTGGCCTGCAATGTCCACAACTAGCTTTGCACCAATCATCCATATAGGCTACGTTTCGAGTACATTCGCCGTGAGCTGCCCATGTCCCACAGCACTGGTTTTCGTTGAAGCATGTTTCCTACAACGGGTTATTCATAAATACTCCCTAACGGTATAGGACGAGAACAATAAGAGGAATATGGACGAGTTTTCCGAACAATACACATCTTCCGCCCATCATAGGCCTCTCGACAGCCGAGAGCAGGACAGCAAAAATTCTTCTAGATGCTTAGGGGATACAGGGGAGCATTAAGCAGAAAGTCTTTTTCTCTCGCAACAAAATGTTCGAAACAACAAAAAGTAGAAGAAGTGTTCTATGATGAGCTCCGAAAACTCGTCCACGTGTGATAAGTTTACAAAAACACCTACAATCCCGATCTTCAAAGGAGAATACCCCGTGAGATTGTAATGCTAGGTTACTGCATCAGGCAATCGGCAGTTGGATTTGATTTAAGCAAAAGAATTACCTGTGGTGCAACAACAACGGGAGCGACTGTTGGAATCGGTCGAGGAGGCGGCGTGACAACGATCGCAGTCTGAATATTCAACCGATTAGATATTGGCAATTCAAAGTGAAGGCTTCGAATTTGTTTTTGATAAAGAGAGAATAAAGATGCTTACTGTAGCGACACATCGTCCACCCACGCATGAGCCCATATAGCATGAATCTTCTCCCATGACAAAGGTACCGCAGTTGCCACCGACTTTCATTTTGGCTGCACAACGTGGCTGTCCATGTGAGAGATCACAGAACAGGAATCTGAAATGAGATACAACGAATGGGAGCAAAGAAATCATCTGGGGAGGTTCCTGATAATCTTACTTGGATCCACAATTGGGCAGTGCTCGGGTGCAGAATGGTCGTGCAGCGTACTCGTAAAGATTGTCCGTATACTTATTTGATAGTCCATCAATGTTTCTGAAAAATTAGTTTTTAAGAGTAATACGACCTCCCCAAAGTAGTAAACCCTGATGAAGAACAGTTCCGGACCTATTAAAAAGGCTCGGCAGGTCATCTACTAGAAAAAGGACTTCTTTTTTCGATAGGGATCTTCGAAGCATCATCATGATGGGCGGTAGACGGAGTGTAAAAGGAACCAAAGGGCACAACTCAGGAACTCCTTGGTCTGCCATTCATTCAAGGACCTTTCTTCATGAGCATCCCTTCATGTTTCCTAAGGCAAGGGTATAGGACGCAGAGTAGGCTGCTTGCTTTGTATGTATGTAACAAAGAGCATCGTTGTGGGAAAGTAATCAACGGTCTACGGATAAGGAGGTGTCTTTACAGATGTTCCTGGTAGCTAAAACCCGTTCATGCGTAGACTCGACCTTTTAAAACGACAAGTGACTAAAAAAGGGCTGATCGCCTAAATGTGATGAATTACCAAAAAACACAACAAAGTAAGAAAAAATAAGAAAGTTTGTGGTTTCACCTCATCGGAGTGAAAGGATTCATATTAGCAGCGGCGAAATGTTGAGGACTGGCACAGAGCTGATTGTCGGGAGGGTAAAGCGTCTCGCGATCAGCACGTGTCTGAAATGCGTAACTTCAATATGATTTGAATAGCAAAAGATCATCTAACATCTACTTCGTGATAGCAGCAAAATGGCCGAATGATTTAGCCATTCTTCAGGGGAACTGTTGAAGTGACGTTGGCTGGTGCAAAATCCCTTTCTGTTACGGCACATGCCGCAATGAAATAAGGGCCTCCATTGCTCCCCCCGTTTTCCCTGCTGCTGGACCATTTCTCTTTGAATAATGAGCGTCTCTAGAAAATAGAGGTTCGCTAATGAGCACGAAATAGTTGCCAAACGCCAAATTTTAACTGAGCCTATGCGCTTGTTGGAATGCAGCTTGATGGCGCTGAGTATAAACGAAATTACAAGCGTACTCGGATATGCCTGAAGCTAAGCTCACCTGTCTTTGTTGCCTCCACTGTTCCCAAATAAAGTCCACGAAACTATGATGAGGATAGAAAAGCGGATCGTTGGCTGAGGTGGCCGTGTCGTACATATCTCCTCCGACAAACAGGTGCCCATTTCCGTGGGTGTACTCTAGACAGTTGTAGTCTGTCCTATAAGGACAACCCTGAAAGAATTCTCTTGCCATGCCTGAATGGGCTATGCCAGCTAGAATCAAAGACCTGACCTGTCGTGGAGCAGAAAACGCAAGTACTTGATCGACTTGATTTTGATTCATCACAAAGTCGATATCGCTCTGTTTGAAAGGAGCACCTTCTTTTCCTACAGCTCGTTTGACATGGGGTAAACCCTAAGTGAAGCAAGGCAGTTCATCGGGAAACGTAAGAGCTGCTCAGAATAAAAAGGACTTTTCACTCACTTCAAGTGTTCTAAAACCTGCAAAAGGTCCATTGTCAACGAGTCCCTGTGCATTGGTATCGCCCATTAATGCGGCCCTGAAAATACATATAGAAGGAAATTAGTTGTGCTGTTACAAGAGTAATCGACGATTTCCATGACGAGGACATTTAGGGAAAGCCTAATAAAGAACGCAGCACGAGTTTTTAAAGAAAGTAATAGAAAAATTGGGAAGGGGAAAGGAAAAGGATCTCTAGCTGAAAGTATTGCAAAGAGGACCATTGTAACGAAGACTACTGAAGTCAAAAATGAACTCCTCACAGTCACTTACGCTGATCTCAGTTATGAACGTGGAGATTCACCCTGGTGTTCAACTATCATAACTCAGATCACCGGATGGAGCCGAAATGATCGTTTTGCTCAGTTCACCCGCTAGACCGTAAGTCGAACCCTCGCCCATCGGATCAGCCAAAGACTTTCCATCATTTAACTTGCAGGGGCCAAATCAAGAAACGATTCAGGACCTAATTCCTTTCTCTTAGTGAACGTATGAAATGCCCCTCGCAATATATTTTCAGCCAAAGCTCCTGCGCAATTTCGAAGAACCACCGAACAATGGCTTGAAGGGGTTCTTCTTGAAGAGATGGCAGGCCATCGGTAGCAATGTGAGGAAACCAAAGAACTCTGATGGCGATGGCGACCTGGCCCGATCACAAGCGGGATGGAGGCAACTGTGATGTTATTCCAAGCCACTGCGTCCATGAATGGAAGTCGAACTTTGTGCCCAACATGAAGTACACCCACAAAAGATATAGTCTTTGACGTTAGTCAACCCCGATTTCGAGATGGGCCCAACAAGCATTCGACATCCACTCAGAATCGTAGTGGCGTTTTCGGACATGGGCATATGTGGCCAATACGATGACTTGCAGCCAGCCGATATACCAGTCAGTTCTTCTATTCTCCCATACGAGTATAGGACCAGATCAAGTAATGATGCAAGGTCTGGTTGGCCTCGGCGACGATCGAGCCGGATTCGAACCATGTGTGTTTGATAGTGTGCAAGTTGAACTGCTTCTCCCTCACTAATATTGTAAACAATCAGACAGTTTATCCTGCGTTTATACTCAATAACGGACAGTAAAGATTGGTTAAGGAACTCACGAGAACATTGCAGAGTCGGCAGGACGAGGTAGAGCACTTTCCAGGGTCGAATCCCAATATGGAAGGGCAAGAGATGGATCAACTTGTCGAAGAGCAAATTCGAACCTAGGATCGAAGCAACTTGAAATCGCTGCTCTCTGGTGTACTAGCCTAGCCTTGATCCAAAAAGAGCGTCGTGTTCTCTTTGAATTTCAATAGCTCATCTCATTGTAACCAACCTTTTAGAGAATTCACGATGCCATGGCAAAAATGCTGGTCCCGAATGAGCTCCACCGACCCTTGTTGATTGTGCATGTATTCGAGAAATACGATCAAATTCACCGTTCTGAATGCGTTTAGAAACTGTTGGTAGTAAAGGTCACGGAAGAGGCGACCAAATGGTCAAGGCTGTTAAGTTGAAGGTAAATAAAAACGTATAAAGGTAAGCGGTAAAGGAGTTAAAGCTGGTTGGTACCTGCTTTAGTGTACGAACTGCTTGATTGAACCGTTCACGTTCGTCGTCTGACATCATACGAAGCTCCTTCCTTGAAAATGATTATTATCTTCAAAGTTCCAATAGAAAATCGTTTTTCATAAAAAAANNNAAAAAAAGTCAACAAATTAATTACTGATCGGTCTAAAAGTTGCATGCTCAGGAATTTGCAGCATATAGCGTAACTCACTAAAAGCCAAATTTAGCGATGAGGGGAGGGAAAGCAGGAAGCGGATGTTGGCTACTATCTGAGTCCCACTTCTGATTTTTTTCTCTTTACACTGCGGATATGCCAAGAGTAGAGAATTATCGGTGGGAACAAGTCACCAGATCATCTAGAATCTTGGGCGCTAGGAAATTCTGCCTTTTGGATGCGCCCCGACATTCCACTTCTATTACGAGTCGTGCTTCCGTTTGAATGCTTAGGTGGTCAATACAGTGATTTAAGGTGGACAAGTCAAGTCCGGGAGAGTATGACCCGGGATTCAAAGCCTCCGAAAGCATTAACTGCTCAGTAAGAGGTACAGGAACTACCAATTTGGGAGTTGAAATGATATGTATGAGTGACTCTGCCTGTGTTTGAAAAATTAAAATCTAACCGATCAAAAATCTGATATCAAATTTTTGAACTTTTTCCATTTACACAGTTCTGCTCTCGTACTCAGTGCATGGCACTTAGGAATGGGCTTTGGTTTTTCACGGACCTGGTCGACGATTGCTTATTACTCTTACTTCTAGAACAAAAAGAAAAATTAGGTCTTTTGGGAATGCAGGGGACCGCCTACAACTTACTGTCTCCCTTGAGCGCTGAAATTGATTCCGCCGAGGTTTCATACCCTTTTCCTGTGAAAGTTTTCTTGAAAGAATCTGACTTTTGGAAAAAAATTCAAGTCTGTCGAAGTGAAGTTTCTACCAACTACCTTTACATGAGTGAAATTAGAAATTCCGAAGTGTTCTTGATAAATTCCTCAGTACTCAAAAGAAGTTTTAGTGATAGTCAGAAATAATAACCTTATTGCCTTCCTTAGCGGTTGCCCATTGGGAAGTGTGCATGCTCCATTGGGAGCCAAGTTTCCTGGAATAGACCAAACTCAAGGGCTTTCTGAAGAAAAATGTCGAAAAAATCAAAAAAAAAACCTCGTAGATAGGTACACATGCATTGCAGATCCATACACTGATAGATGGAACTGGCAATAGGGGCCAATTCAGCAGCGATAGCATTTTTGCCCGCAGCTATTCCTGGCGGCAGAGCAACCAAAGTCTTCTTCGCTGCCTTTTTCTGTAATAAAGCATACGGACAATTTAAAAAAATATGAAATTTCTAAACCTGCGTCTTCCTTCTTTCATTTCTCTCGGGATTACTAGCATTTACAGGGTTCACCGTCCAAAAAGGGCGTCCAAAAGGGTTTCAAAAGGGAAGCAATCAATTCTGAGCGCGAAGACCTCGTGAGGAATGAACACTCGAGAAGTAATGAGGTCATTAGTAGCCGAAGCCCTAAAGACGGGAAAGCAAAGGTTCTTGACTGATTTTTTGAATGAACACTTCCGAATACGCAATCGATTTGGGGTGACCCATCGAGAGGACAAGAAAAATAGGTTTTTTAGAACGAGTTTACACAAAATCACTTCACAACCCCTGTCAATGTCCCTTTCATTGCTGCGGTTTCGGTCACATCCTATCTCTTTCGAAGGTCGTCAAATAGACACGCCTTAGTACATTAGTTTAATTTTGTATCTCAGTACACTACTACACTTTTCGAGGTGTCGAAGTGATAATGGTATGCCCTTCCCACGACGCAGAGAGTGGTAGGGATACTACACCACTTGACGGCTCTACCCCATTCGTCTCCTTCCACCCACGGCGAATTTAAGGTAGTGGCCACAAAGCGTTGTGACCGTAATCGCCCACAGTTATCGTGTCTTCCCCTCATCTAAAATTGATCCATCTATTGTGGGCTACAATCACCCGCGAATTCCTGCAAAGGAAGTACGGGAAAGAAAGAACCTGTATCAGTTAACTAGTAGGATTGAAAAGTTGAATGGTTTTCGCGTACGGGGCCTCAGATTAAGTTCAGTACGCTATTTCCCGAATAACCTTGGGAGTATGCTATATTCTTGCCCTTGGGGATGAGATGGAACCCGGAATACCCTTTGAAGAATGTATACGAGTACGAAATTCAAGGTTGGGAAGCCATAATCCCGGACCAGCCTCTACAGAAGAACCTCCGCCCCCCAAGAAAACATGGTAACGTGCATGACAGACAGTGTAAGACGTGCGAAGATCCACAAATGCCATGTCATCTGAATTCGCGGAATGTGCATTCGAGAACACGAAACATCAAAGGTAAGGGTCGCATTGACTTCAATCAATCAACACCACTTGATTCTTCCTCTCCACAGTTTTCGATCTGAGCCGGTTTTGCTGACAAAAACGTCTTCATTGATGAGTAAGGACCCATTTTACCTATTTTTGAAGTGATCAGCACCAAAGAGGTTAACTCATACTTTTGGCACGTACTCTATTCATTGAAAAAAAGAGAGTTCGTGTTGACGAACTTCTACGTCCCTTTTTATGTAGTGGACTGGTTCAGCGAGTTTTTGAAGTAGTATGTACGTGTCGTTTAGCGAATAATGAATCATTCCTAATGGCATCTTTGCATGTGGAGGCGTTTATGACGAATTCTATGACAAATCTTCGTAATTGTTTGAAGACGCTCTTGAATATTGCAGCTTGTCTAAGAAAAAATTAATAAATTTTTAATAAAGGTCGCGTGCAGTCTCCGGAACGGTTTTGTATGCATTAAAGGGTCCGATGTATTTCTACATTCCCTGTGTTTAATTCTGGCATTTGGATTTATGATTAAAACGAAGTTCGTTCTGACTGATATTCGATTGACAGGACGGAGGCGGTGTAGGTGTATGGAAGTACAAGATTATACGGGAAATTTTGGATTTTATCTTCCAAGAATTGCTTAAAAAGATGCGAGGATCAAGTCTTTGGGCATCAATCAGTCTCATCTGAGGGATGCGCCCCGCACACGACTTCCATTCAGAATTGTAGTGGCGTATTGAATGCGTATATGACCTATACAATGACTTGCGATGGCCGGCCGATGTACAAGCCAGTGCTTTTATCCTCTCAAACGAATCTACCACTAATTAATCTACTACGGAGGGTTGGAAGGCTTAATGGCCCGAGCGGACATCAATTCAGGATTCGAACTCATAACCATGCGTGTAAGATAGTGCGCCACATGCCATTACACTAAACTCTTCCATTTTTATAGCACTGCTACCGTTCAGAGAATAAGCCGCCCTGACTTCAGTTCGTTTCTTTTCCACTAAAAAAGCTAGCTGGCTAATTGTTTACAATGTTTTATGCTTCATCTATTCGAATGAACCGGCGTTAAGCGTAGCCCGCTCTGTTCCACCAACTTCAGCCAATTGGCGTCAAGGTTGCAAGAACAGCGAATCCGACGTCACAATAGATCCATTTAGACGAATAGGCTGTAGCCGATCACGATGTGACCAGATGGTGTTTAACCTTCAGTTCGCATTGTTTCGATAGGAGTGGCAGTTGGAACGCGAGTAAGGGAAGATCAAAAACCGAACTGTCATCTTTAATCTTCGGACGCACCGTTAAAGTTATCGTCCGTAAAACTTTGTCTCCCTATGTACCGATTGAACGACCACGAAAGAATGGATCGCTTGGTTAGCCTGGGCAACTATGTATTGTTCTGGGATCGCCTGGTTGGCCTGGGCAACTATCGATCCGGGATTCGATCCCCATAAGGGTACGTTTCAGAAGGCAAGGTCCACAGCAATTTTGACAGCTTCGCTCCTAACTCCCAGAGGAATGTGGATTTGAATGAAAGTGGCGAACATAGAGAACTTAGAACTTTTCGAACACGTAAATTCCTTTTTCAACTATGAACTGCACGTCACGCAATTGCTGTAAAAATGCTGTAAAATCGAATCGCTGTGACCGTTACATGACAAAGTGAAACGGTGAACTGAAAAACGTACCCGTGCAGCTTCGTCCCATTTGTGTAGTTGATGACAAATGACCTTAGCAGCTGCAGTAGGTGCTGATGCACAAGGATCTTGTGCTTGCACCACTAAGGCGACTGCTGCCAGTAGGCCCAGTAATAACATTGGGCCCTGAAAAAAGAAGATTTAAGTTGTTTCACTTCGGAAAATGGATCCGTTATTCACAAGTAGCATAGAATATCAAGAAAATCTACAGATAAATCTCAATCTTGCATAAGAGAAACTAAAGAGATGTTTGGAGCCAGCATGGTCTCCTTGGGTTTCTGGACCCACTAGCAGACTGAGCTATGCACTGTGTGTGACGGAAAAATCGTACACCATACAGAGAGTACACCGTGCACGAGGTGACCGTTTCTAGAGAAAGGGGCAAAAGGATGGAGGGAAGAGAATGGCAAATGCTCTTATGCTCTACGAATTACTCGCCCGTTTTTGAGGTGTTCGCGGGTGCGTCCATGGTCACATTTCATCGCGGAACCAATTATTTTTCGAAAGCGTTCATGATAAACAGTGATAATAAAGGATGAACTTTTTGGTGTTGAACAATCCTGTTCAGGCACTCGACTTCCATTAAAAATCATAATGAAGACGTATTGAACTCGTTTCAGGCCTATACAATGAATTGCGGTGGCCAACCGATGTACAAGTCAGTGCTTATGTTCTCCCAAAAGTTTGATAGAATTAACGAACCCCGGATGGATATAACTATAGGCTAGACCGGGCAAGAATCGATCCGGGATTCAACTCCCAGACCATGCGTGTGTGATAGTGCGTCCCTCCAAAAGCCACCACCTCCGCCTAACAAGTAATATAATAAGAACTAATGATACTAGTAATAATTCACTGCCTCCAAAAAAAGAGCGTACGAAATTCGACGAAAAAAATGAGTACCCTTCAAGAGGTTGTTCACCAACATAGGCTACGCCTAGGACTACGTCGTTGGTCCACCTATCATCCTTCCTCCTGCCTTCCCTTCGTCGGTGGTGCAATCAAAAGACAACTATCGATATTCAGAATGACGAATACTCAATTATCTTGGTTGAGCGGAACAGAAGAAATTGAAATGTGCTGTAGCAGGCTTGACTGAACAGTCTCGAATGAATCAGTGAAACTTGTGCCACATTTCTTACAACGACGGGAAATACTTTGACTGTTTTACAGCGGTTTCGAAAAGACGTGCTCTTGTTTGTGCAATGCCGATGACTTCGTGTTAATTCTTTCCCAAAGAAAAATGAACTAGAAAGTTGCCCAGGAGAATTCCTTGTATTGCCTAGAGACTCTCCCGAGTAACCTTTTAGTTCCTCTTCCTTCAGGAAAAAAAAGGCTTCACAATGGCCTCCATCATGCACAAAATGCTTCCTAATTAACTGGAAGAATAAAAACCGAAAAGTAACTGGTAACTGGTTTAAAATTAACGTCAGCACTTTTAAAAAGGCATCAAGAGAAAGTAAAGTAAGTGAAAGACTTTTCTGGGTTGAAATGGCTGGTTGGCTGGGGCAAGTGGTTGACAAGTTCATCTCCCACTGCCATTTTCCGTGCATCTTGAGAGACCTACTCGATAACCTGTTCGAATTGGCCGAAAACCTTGACAATTGCGACTCAAAGACCGAATGTTTGTATCTGTTTGCCATGTTAAACTGCTATGAATAATCGAATGCCGTCCAAAAACCATTCTTCAACACAATGACACACTCTCTTACATGACTAATGAGTTCTATGAACATAATAACATTGAATTTCCTCACCACTGTCGGATATCGATTTCTTCCCGATGGATGTGATTGATCTGACATCAATTTTATCACGGCGGGTATACAAATCGTTGGAAATAGTCGAAAGTATTCGCCGCTCGAGAACTTTGAACTCAGAAGGATTCATACATCAGCTACAGGACGAATGCCTCCTTCACTCACAAAGCTAACAGACTTTCTCAGAGCCCTTTGGCTGGTCAAGATCTTCGATTGGAAATAAAGTCTCTGCGGCATGCACTGGATTCGATTCCATTCAGAATCGTAGTAGTGTATTGAATGCGTATGTGGCCTATACAATGACCTTCGGTGGCAAGCCGATGTACAGTCAGTGCTTTTAACCTCGAAGACGAATCTGGTACCTATTAACCGACTCGGTGGGATATATGGATAGGATGCCTGGTTGGTCGAGGCGGGAATCGATCTGGGAATCGAACCTGCGACAGTGCATGTGAGGTAGTGCGCCACTTGCCACTACATCACTAACCTTCAAGAATTTTCGGTTCTATCAGGGAAATTGCATGTTTCACTATCCCGTTTTTTCTATGCGCTTGGGAGCATTTCCTCCCAATGGTCCCAATGATTGGGAAGAAAATGGATTTTACGAGTAGTTCAGAATTTGCGCTCCTATGGGCAGGATTGAAGGGGACCGATGTAGTATTGCCGGGTTTTCAGAACGTGGTAATTCGATATAGGAGTTTTCAAGTTTCAAGTTCAAGCTTTCTTCCCTGCGAATGGTACTCAGCCAGGTGCATCAGGAAAGCAAAAACAAATCAGTGGTTACAGTAGACATTCTAAACGTAGCCTTTGGATTCTCGACGATTTTTGTTGGTCTTAGTGCGGTGAGAGCTGCAATGACCGCTCTTCATAAGCTGCGCCCCACTCCCCCCATGATGCTCTTCGGCAGCGCGTGCTGGCTCGTAGTAAATAAGAATCCTAAAAACCAACATCACGCCAAAATGAGGATCCTCAGATGGGTCTGCAGTTAGATACGATGCGACTAAAGAAAAGTCAGAAATAAAGGCGTCGTGTCGGTCATACAACATCCGCTGTCCAACTGAAGATGAGAATGCAGTTAAGGGCAGGTACTGAAAAGAAATCATCCAAATCCTACAGAATCATCCAATAAGAGAGAGGAAGGAAAAAGGAAGGCTCAGCGAACAATCTTCGGGGGAGGGTTCCATCAAGAAATTAGAAATAACACGAGCAATAGAACAGACGAATAACTGCGAATTTCAGGACGGTGAATGCGTTGAAAAGAGGTTCCGCAGTGACGAATCTCGTCATCCAGCAGGTCCTCAATGAACAATGAACAATAAAAGCGTGAACAGTTTTCTAACAAGACGAGTTCTGGCTATTGTGAATCGGATGGGAACGAAAATCATCATTCATGTAACTAAACGTGCACTACAAAAAAACTATCCCGGAATACAAATTCACCCATTTCACATGGAAATTTTCAAATAAAACGATTCAATAAGATTCGTGATTTTAGAATTTTTAAGGGATTTCAGAGGAAAGCGGAATGTCTCTGGGTTGCTTCTGTAGAAAGCATTATCATTCTACTCCACCCCCTTCATTTTCCCTATCGTCGACAGAACGGGACCAACAGAGAGCAGGACAGACAAATATAGCGAAAAAGATTCTCAGGAAATTTGAAGGCTCACGAAAACCAGAGAGGTGCTTTGAGAAATGCAAAAAAACCCAAACTTTCGGGTGCGGTGTGATTGCCTCGCGAAGGTTCCCCAATCCCCAGTTTAGCCTAAGTAGCCCTTTCATATATTTGCAATGATGACCATAAAAGGGCATTGAAATCGAGTAGAATCACACATTTCCCTGAACCCTTATCAAGAATGAATCGAGATGGTCAGGTGACGATGCCCAGTTCGTGGGGAGGGCAAAGGCAAGGTCACTGGGTGCGTTGAACTCCTGAAGAGACCTAACACCACCCCCTAGCGAGTTTCAGGGTTTTATTACCGATAAAGAGATGTTTCTTATACCGGTACAAGGCCCTGCCCACTCTGACTCATTGATGATTTTNAAAGGCAAGGTCACTGGGTGCGTTGAACTCCTGAAGAGTCCTAACACCACCCCTAGCCAGTTTCAGTGTTTTACTACCGATAAAGAGATGTTTCTTATACCGGTACAAGGCCCTGCCCACTCTGACTCATTGATGATTTTTGCATATTTACAACACTTTCTGCGCAACTGATTGCGAAAAAAGAGGGAAAAGGGATTTGGGAGACGATCGCCCCACTCAAATAAAAATGCTTGTTCATTCAATGTTGCTGGAATTACAGAAATCTTTCGAAACTCTCACGTAAAGTTGTCATTCTAAGTTTGCTTGCAGCTCGAATACAACTTCTACTAACGTTAGGCATGCCCTGAAGTTGACCTAATGTGCGAGGAGCGGCGCGTCCTGACCCCAAATCTAGAATAATTTGACAACGGGAAGCGGACTAATTGATTATGATATCGTACTTTAGGTAGGCCAACTTGCTCTCATTAGTTCCAAGATCTGGTCCTTATTTGAAACCTTATCCGTGTGGAAGAATTTGGACTCAGATAGTAAGACAAGTGAGACTCTTGAAAATCACTCTGTGCTCATCCAAATATCAGATCATTTTTAAACGGTAATCGAATGAATGGCACATCCTGAGAGAAGGAAATGATCAAAGTCACGCGTATCACCATATGTACGGTAGAGATGTTGAAAAAAAGCAGAGACAATCAGGATGGAGTGAAAGAAAATGTCAATTGAAACCTATTCCGTCAACATAGTATTGGCTATATTGGCTACTACAAGTCATAAGATATTATTGTTGTTATGATGGTCAACTAGTATCGCCATTGAAGTATTAAGTAATACAGCCGAAGATAGAAAGAGAGCCGAATAATAAAAGTCTCAAAAGTGGCACCCATTAATCATCACCGACCATCGTCGTCAATTCACATTGGAATTGCATTTCTTCCTGAGAATTCTTTTGTTGGAACTCGATTAAATCGACTCAGTCATCATTCCCACGGGAAATACATGTTCTTATTATTAATATAATTATTATTCTTATTCTATTTCAAGTTATTATTCAATATGACGGTGACTACGGTATGTCGTCCTTAGCCCCAGGAGTAGACGGTAACTAGTCATTAGTGGATTTATTTGATTTTACGACACAAACCCTGCACTCGACTGAACAAAACAGCGATTCAAAAACATCCTTCCACTCTACGGCCCACGCCCATCTTACAAATCCCGCCCGCGGCTTCAATTCTGCTCCAATAAACCGCAGAAAGAGGAGGAGAGGGTGACTCATTGCGATTTCAAACGAAATAAACAGAGAACAAAGTTGTTCGACGTCGATCGATCCCGTTTTTGGAAAACCTCTGCATTCGACTTACATTGGAAATCGTAGAGGCGCTTTGTATGCAGCCTACATATACATATACACTGACTTTACCGACCAATGTACTAATCAGTGCTTTTATCCTCCCATACGAGTCTGATACTAATTAATCGACCGCGAGTGATGGAAGGCCTATCTGGTCTGGGCGAGTATTGATCCAAGGTTCGATCCCCGGCCCATTTGCGGGATAAAAAGCCTATCATTGAGAAAGATGGAAGAAACCGAACCTAAAT